AATATAAATTTTACTTGACTTTATTCCTGTGAATGTCTGAATTTCAGAAGGGGCGAAGTATATTCTTCGCCCCCTCACTTTAATTTAAGGGAAAATAGATTTTGGAAAATAGATTCAAAGTTTTTTTTTTTAAAGAAAAAAAAGTTACTAGACTTTATTATTTCAAATGTCTAAATTTCAGAAGATACAAAACACATTTTAGCCCCCCTTACTTCATCTCAGAAGAAAATAAAGTTTCCTGTCCCCTTACTATAATTTAAGAGGAAAATTAAGTTTTTTATTTGGAAAATACCGTCGAAGTTATGAAACAAAACAATTTTCTTCTTCTAAAATTTCCTACTTTACTTGATTTTATTCTATTAACGTTAATGTCTAAATTTCAGAAGATGAGAAGCAAATTCCCCACCCCCCTCACTTTTATTTCAGAAGAAAATAAAGTTTTCTATTTGGAAAATAGATTATTTTATTTTGAAATTTAATTTTTTTTAGATAGCACACCAAACTGGGCCAATTCTTACAGTTGCAATTATCTTTTGAGAATGCTGAGCCTCTATGATTCCCTAAGCAATGTATGTGTGCAAGATTACCTTTAATAGTGGAGAAGTGATGTGGTTTAGTGATGAACTATGATGCACAATGGCTCAGTGGGTCTTTAGTGCAGGAACTTTTTAGATTTTTATGTCAAATATTTCTTTCTATTGCCCTTCCTAAGCTGCATCTTTTGATTTTCACAAAACACCTTTCTGAATGTCGAATTCTTTGGAATCTGATAAGTGTTTGAAAAGATAATGAAAGAAAAGTATAATGGTGAGTATATTACCTTATATTTATATAGTTTTTATTTACATATCAATTTATTATCAAAAAATAAATAAATAACTTACCAAAGCTTGGTAATGCATCATGTATTTTAAATAAATTGGTGATTATATTATGCTAAATATAATTTTAAAGTAACCACACAATTAACAATTGATTGCATATTTTCAGTAAAGTGTCATCATTTACTTGATTTCGTAGTTGTTTATTTTTGTTTCTTCAATTCCAAGAATCCTTTTAGCTTCTTATCTTTCGAAATCCTAAGTAAGATTACTTATTTAAAATCTTTGCTGTAATTGAAAATTGGAAAGTAAAACAAGGATGAAAATGGAAAGTGTAGTGGACTGCAACCTAGCACGTCCTCATAATTTTAAAAAATTGCTGTATATTTGGTTCATAATTTTACAAATATGTCTGTATAATTTATAAGCCTCCATTTATTAGTAAATATAATACAAATTTGATTGCCTTATTAAAAGCAAGAGGTAAGAACAAATATTTCATATGCAATTGTAGAGATAATAATTTAGACTATTTAAGTAAAAAACTTCAGAATAATTATTCACGCTAAATGCTAGTATTTATTATGTGTTATTGCTTTTTGGTGGTCATATTTTTTAGAATTTAATTGATAACAACTGAAGTCTCTAAGTATTCTAGTATACCATTTTTTTATATGATCTGATGGAATATGTAAAAATAGATTCATTTTTAAACTGTGCAAAATACACTATTGAATGCAAATGTGGAGACAAATTATGATTATTACATAATTTAATTAAATTATGATATAATTATTCCCAGGAGCTTCAGTAGTTAATCGTTTTCTTCTATTGCATCGTAACTGAATCTTAGTTAGGGAAAGTAATTGTGTTCTCGTAAAGTAAGTTGGAAAGTAAATGGATATTTCTCGAACTAATAATCGAATATTATTTTTATTTCATCGAAGTTCATGTTCATTTTTGTAAAGCGCAACTCCTTGTACAAAGCGCAACGTAAAGTTGTACACCCAAAACAGCGGAAGCGGCATTTGTAATTTTTTAATATGGAGTAGTAGTATGTAGCAGTACTTTATTTACAAGAGTAGCAAGATAGGTTATCGGGGATGATCTTGTTAGCATCCCTATTAAGGATGATCAGCAACATTCCATACAATAGTGATTCTCTGCAGCCTCCTCTTTGGTAGCCTAACCAAAGAATATTCTTCTTATATATTTTTTGGCCTAACGACCTGCATGCGTAATTATACACTTTCTGCAAGTTGAACGAAGTGGTAATGGTCACCCACCCGCTGACTGACCGCGGTCAATGATGTTTGACATCGGTGTATTACTGGGATGGGAACCGTGTCTAAGATCAGTCCAATGTGGGACTTATATTATAAAAAGAAATATATTAAGTGTAATATATACTATTTCAATCCCTGCAAATCGGAATACAGAATACTTTTTTGAATATAATAAGCGGTGTGTGAAAAAAGTGAAGATCGTGAAACTAGGTAAAAGAATAATTTAGTTCTGCTCCAACAGATTCAACTGATAACTGGATGAATTAGCAACCGGAAGATGAAGTAAGTTGCCATTCACGACCATAAACTTGATTCTTTGTTTTCGGAAGTATTGAGGAAATGTTATTTTTTTTAATCCGATTATCATTACGTATTTAAAAAGAGAGAATAAGTGAAAACATGCCGCACTAGTCATTTCTCTAGCTCAGAAAATTTTCGTCAAGGTATGATTAAATATTTCTTCTCCTGTTATTCTATGAAATTGATTGGAATTTTTTGTACTATTGTACCATTTAATAAGTAAACAAAAATTTTCAGCAATACATATAAAGATTTTACAAATAAGTATTTTGGTGTAACTGAAGATATATCTTAATAATTATAAAAATTTTTAATTAATTTATAGTTACATTAATTTGTGCTTTAATTTGTAATAAAGTAACTTTAATTTGTGCTTTCAGATTTTGAAATTAGAATTAAAAACACTTAAAAATTTGTAATTTTAATATTGCATTTTGTAAGTAAATTTACATTTTGGAATTGGAAGGAAAGTTTTTAATTTTTTGAAGATAAAAGTAAAACATATTCCAAAAGTCGTTATGTTATCTTTTCCAGTTTTTGAGAGGCATTGTTTGATTATGGAAAAAAAAATTCGAAAGGAGGAAAAAACGAAACTATTTTTAAAATTTTATTTCACGCTGTAGGTTTTTTTTAAAAATTATTTCAAAGAGAGCTAATAGTATTATATATTTTAAATAATAAAACTAATTACCAATTTTTCAAACTGTTTGTCTCGTCAGCTCTTTTAATTTTTTATAGTCCAACGAAATTTTTACTGAAGCTTTTTTCTCCATTTTTTACTGATGCTTTTTTTCTCCCATTCCTTATTCTTAAATATTTGTACATGATTGCTAAGTTTTTTAATGAAGGGAAATGATTTTCCATTTTTTTCCTAAAATGCCACTAAAAGTAATTTTATTAACGCTAACGTAAAACTTATATTAAAATAGCTTAATCAATGAATATTAATAATTTCCAAACTAAATTAAAAGCCAATTGGAGATATCTATGAAATGAGATGCTTTCTTTTGTCCTATTGGTTTGAACGTTGACATCCATGTATCAATTATACATTTTTAAAAATAAAGCTAAATTGACTAATTAAATTAAGAATTAATTAATTAGCAGCTGATACAACGGTATTCTTAGTCTTAAATTATAATTTGCTTGCCAACGTGAACATATGAAAACTTAAAAGTTCATTGAGTTATTTATTCTTTGTGTATCAATTATAAATTTTGTAATAAATGAACCAGAAAAGTAAGTTTTTTAGGAGTTTTTTTTAAAATTATAATTGAATTTCTTTTTGCTTAGATTAAAAAAATTTTTATTCAAAATTTATGAAAATTTTACTCAAAATTTTTTGTGGTTACTAATTTATTTATATATATTTTTTTAAAACTGTGATTGCAGCAGTCATTAAAAATTTTATAAATTGAACTTTAAACTGAATCCTAATTTAAAACATTGTTGAAATTTTTCAGTAAATGGTAAATTGAATTAATTCAAAAATCGTGTTAAACAAAATATTCTAAAAAAAATAAGGAGGAAGGTCAATTCTTTTTTGAATATCAATTCTTTTAAAAAAAATTATTGATCTGTATTTTTACTGTTACTTACATTTTTATCTTTACGTGAACATTTTGCAATTTTTACTTAACTAAATTATAATGAAGTGCTTCTCTAAATATAATTAATTATCTTCAAACTAATATTATCAATATAAATATATATATATATATNGTCTGGGCACAACAATAGCTGCATCACTCTGTGAACATACTAAAAACCACTTAATTATATATTTTATTTTTATTTATTTTTTATTGAAACATTCAACGGATTTTAGAGCAATATTTAGTTAATAGAATTTTCGAAATATCATTATAAGAATATTTTTGACTGCACTAATTTTTCTTATTCACTCAATTTTTCAGTCACTTCATTTCTCATTGAAATATTTTAAACTGTTTAACTATTAGGGGGACCGGAAATTAATGTCGTTTCAGTGCATTTGATATTTGTTACCAAGATTTTATTTTTAATCAATAATGTATTCAAAATGAATCGAAATAGACCGAAAAAAATAAATTGGTTTTTATTTTTAATATATGACTAACGAATATTTAATGCACCGAAACGACATTACTTTCCGATCCCCCTAATATTTATTCTATGATAAATGCTCTATTAATGTTTTGAAACATCCTTGTTATGATTAATGTTAAATAAATAATACAATACTTTTTTTTATCGTGACATGTTTTGAAAGATTGGCTAAAGCTTATTAGTTCAATTATATACAGCTACTGCTCAAGTAAAAATTTTCAGGGGTTTGTATAGATGGCTTGTGAAGGAGAACAGAAAGTTGTAAACCACCGGAATAAACTTATTACATATATGGATCGGTTACACCATGTATGTCTTAATTTGCGAAAATTTTATCTGACAACTACAGGTTTATTTTTTTCTTTAATGTATGTATTTTTTATTGGCAGCCTGACATTTAAATGATAAAAATATTGCTCTTAAATGCTTGAAATGGCAAATAACGTTTGATGCGTGCCTTTCTTTCAAATTACTTGTATTAAATTATTCCTATTTACTTGTATAAAATAAAGGTACATTTCACCTCGTATCTAAAGCTTTGATTATTAAGAGAAAAACGTTTTGCCACAAATTTATACTTACTTTATTGCTGAAGCCTCACTTCTATGCGGTCAGTGACATACTGTTTAAATCCCCAGATCGATTCTTTTTTCCTCTTCGAAGAGAGATACAGTTTATAATTGGATCATCCATCCCTCTTGATTTCCTGCATTAACATGAATAAGTCTGTTTTTTTTTTTGTTTTTTTCACTGACAAATTACTTAATAAAATTACTTTTCGCTCAATTATAATACGTTTTGAAGAATTACCCGAAGTATGGGTTAATTATAGCTTTCTAAAGAAATAAATAGTGCTCACTATTGAATAAATTAAGTCAGAAGTAACTTAATGTGACACATCATGTTCATTCAGAGTTTAAATATGTTTATACTTATAAAATGAGGTAATAATAAAAAATGTTTGTGTTTGCGTAAAAAATTATAAAGAAATTTTTTTTTCAGAGAATTTCCCCCCCCCCCTCCTTTTCTAGAACTTCTGACTGTATACCACTTTTTTTTCCTTCACGATACCTCGTTTATTTATAGGGTGTTCCACCCTCACAACCCTTAATATATATACTCTTGGGCTTTACTTCACTGTTCGCTAACACCTTATTCTTATATGGTTCACTGATGCAGATTGATATGATTATTAATTAAATTATTTTATGTCTTGGTAGATTTTTTTTTTCATGCCGCCTAATTCAGTTTACCAAAAACTGTTTACAATGGAATTACAATACCAAAAAACACATTTAAAAGCAAAAATGCGTAAATTCTGAAAGAAATGGGCTACTTTGCACTGGTTACTTTGTGTTGATGAATTAATTTTTAAATAAAGTTTATGTGCTTAATATGTTTGAAAGCATTAAATGGACCTATCAATTAATTAAAAATAAGAATAATTTTCTATTGCCGAAAAGCCGAATTTCCCTGCTATAAATAGCTTTATTATTAAAAAGTGGTCATTTAGGGACAACTAGTGCAAGATAAATAATGGTCAAAAATGTTTTTTTTTCTCCAATACTCATAAATATAGGGAAATTCTCTTTAGTATATCTGTTTTCTTATCCCAAAAAGCTAATATTATTTATTTATTTTGTTCCTGCATTAGAGCAAAAATACTAAATATTCCATATGGGAAATCTACCTCCCACGACGAAAACTGAAATTTGCACAATAACCATCAAAAAAACTATGTTTCTGGTCCAAAAACGAGACAAGTTCAACCTATGAGGCTAACCAGCATCAGTTGCCCTTAAGAACTCCAGAAAAAAAAACACATTGTCACACCATTTAGAGTGACAATGTGTTTTTATCAATTTATTTTTGGCTTTATCATCATTCTTTTATTCAATTAATGCACGATTTTATGATTACTTACGGCATGATAATCATTTCTTTGATAGACAATTTACAATTTCATATTCGTTAACACATAGATTCACAAGTCACTCTTTTATCTACATTATAGATATACAATGGCATATACCAAGAAGATCGCATGTATTTTCATATGCATTGTGTTAGTGTCAGCAACCCTAATCGATGGATTCCATCATTCTTCTGGAGGCAGCGGCATTCTTGGTGGTTTATTGGGAGGAGGTGGAGGTCATGATAAACATGGTTCCGGCTTAGGAGCCATACTTGCTCTGACTCTCATAAGGGGACTTCTCTCTAATGAACAAAAACACCATCACGTGCACCATCATGCTGGACATCACGGACATCATCATGCTGGACATCACGGACATCATCATGGCTTTGCACTTGCAGCAGAACATACACCCGAGCTTTTGGGATATGAAGAAATTGGTCATGGATTTGAACTGCACTGATATACAGATTTCTGTATAAAAATGTTAAAATTGTAAAATTGTATTATAAAACTTCACGTTGTATTATACACATTTCATTGTATGAATAAATAAAATGTTGTTGTTTCTATATCGATTTTTTTTAATTTTTTTTATTTAAGTGTTTGAGTTTCTTGAATAACAATTTTTTATTTTATTTATATGCGAATCAAATAACATTTTTGCAAGCATATAACTCGAAACTGCACTTCATAAATTTGAAAATAAGTACATTTAAAATTTTTGATTTTTAATGTACTTTTTATAATTTGATTTGAATTTGATTTTATAATATTTTTGCTGAATATTATCCTTTTAAATTTAGTCTATTACACAAATCAAACAATAGGATTTTAACTAACATTTTTATTATGTAATTTTCAATCTTTGATTGCTGAATGCTAAATCGCTTTAAATTTTTGCTCGAACTGATTAAAAGGTCTGTGAAAAAAGACGCGTTAATAGCTAAAATACATCAGTAATTTTATCTATTAACCGAAAAAAAATTGATGAAAATGGAGATGAAAAACACGAAATTGAATTGTCTTATAGAAATTCAACTGGTTTTATTGTAAATTTTTTTTTTACAGCATGATTAAAATTTTAATTTTATGTTTGGCAGACAGAAGTTTGAACATTATAAACGCAAAGTAAAGTTTAAAAATGCATAAAATGTTTTTCAAAATAAAGTCAAATTTTAGCTCAAAAACAACAAATTTTTCATGTCAACTAACAACAAATTGTAATGCATAAATTTCAAAAAAGAATTTTTTTTTGTTCATTAATGTGATTATCTTTGTTTTTTTAAATAAACCCTTAAAATTCGAAAAGACAGTGAAGTAGACATAAATATATTGTTTAATATTGAATATTTAAATAAAATTTTTAAATATTCTTAATAAAAGCTTGACAAAAATAAGAAATTCACACTTAGACCTTAGCTTTTAATTCAAAACATCGCTGACATTATTTAAAATTTCAAATAATTCTATAATAACCTTTTTTTTTTTTTTTTGTAATGCATGTTAGCGTAAAGAAAGTTTTTTTCAAAATCAACGTTCTTCAGAAAATGCATTTAAAATGCAGGAAAATTTTAACAAAAATAAATAAATAAGCAATGATTCGAAAACTAATTTTTGAAAATGAATTTTATTTGTCTTATTACAATTTATTCAAATAAAAGAAATGTTAAAGTACTCAAAGCATATCAAAATAATTTTAGCTTCGTTTTTGAGAATTTGGTTTCGTCAGTCAGCTTACGAAAAAACAATTCGAAAATGTTGTTGTTCGAAAATATTAAAGTATCCCACTGGGTGAAAATCGCAATTCGGCGTACCTCGAATTGTCGATTTTCAAAATTCTAATGGTGTCTGACTTCTAATGGTTCATCTAAATCATGAAATTTTTCTATACAAGTTGGAGAAAAACAATTCGGCAGAAAAGTCAATAACCAAATACATATTTTTTTTCAAGCATATTTATTTTGATATACTAACTAAACATGTAAAATCCATTAACAAAATGCATCATTCTTCCATTGTTTTTATTCCTCGATAAGTTAAGTTATCATATGTTATTATACAATATTTATAATTTTTAGTCCTGCTTGATTTGATCATTATAGAACAGATCATATTTACAAGAAATTTTATAAATTTCATAATATTAAGGGTACACATGATATTAAGGGAACACATAATATTTAGGATACACATAATTTTAAGGGTACGCATAATATTTTAAATTTGTCAAAAGATCAGCATAAAAACTTGATAGCTGATTTCAGGAAGTAAAGAAAAGGGGGAATATAGAAACACCGGTTTTTCACCGCTTAGTTATAGGGATATTAATTTATATCCGTGATGGCATGAGAAGATATTTTAATAAGGTTGGGCCAGGCTAACTATTTTCAAAACTTAGAATATGGTTTAAACCTATAATATGCAATATTTTTCATATGTAGAATATCTTTGTAATTGTCCATTTTCACGCATACATATTTTCAATGTTGTTAAAGACGGAAGTAATTGGAACCTAATCACCAGGGATTGCTAACCAAAATTTAAAGAGTAAGAACCCTTATGGAAAAATTGAGCTATTTTTGAGGTATAAATAAGGTGTTTTTCAAAGGTATAAATGAAGTTGTTATTTAAGTACCGCGTTAAGTTGAAAAGGGTGTAAAAATGATTACCTCAAAAATATCTGCAGAGGTATATATCTATGAACTTGAGGTGTTTCATCTTACATTTGTGGGGAAGTAGATATTTACTACTTTAAGGTGTTTTATTTTCATCTTTAAGTTATTACTTATTAACTTTAAGTATCTTTTTTTACACCCTTGGAAGTATTTATTCAACAATCTAAGGTGCTTCATTTAACACTTTAGGTTATTCTAGATCTACCTCAAATGTATTTTTTGACAATTGTAAAGGTAAGTTTTTACTAACCTGAGATGTTTTATGTTATTATTATTATTATATATTATAACATAATATGTTATAATATATAATATATGTAATAATATTATTATATATTATAATATAACATGTATATATTTTTATGTTTGTACGGATATTTTTTTTTATCAACTTAAGGTGTGTCATTTTACACAAGTTATTATCAACCTCAAGTTTATTTTTCAATCGTTGGATAGGTACTTTTTTTTGTGAGCGTGAGGTGTTCTATAGATATTATACAGTTGTTAAGGCATTTATTTATCTACCTATAGTGTGCCATTTTTCACTTCCGGTTATTATAAATCAATTTCAAGTGTATTTTTTGACACTTAGAAAGGTTATTTTTTATTAACGTGAAATGTTCCATGTTCTACCTTTCTTTTGTTCTTCACTCTGAAATTTTTTTAAATTACTTTTTATAAAAGTAAAAAAGTAGTGTTTTGTGCTATTCTTTTCTCACAAGCATTTAAAAAAAATTCGCATGTCAATTAGTTTTAAATGCATTGTTATTTTACATGTTTTAACTCATTAACAACAATATAAATTTTACTTATACATACAGATATCTAAGCAAACGTTCAGCATACAGTTGTAGTAGAATCCAAAAGCAAAATTGCTATTTTAAAATAGTTCAATTTTCAATGATTTATTTATAAGAGATATTATAATCATTTTATTCAATTAATCAGCATTCATTCTGCTACGTTAAAACACATACATTTAAGCAAAATAAGAAAATAGTTTTTTTTTGTAATAAATAGCAAACAATAAAATATACTGTGCAACGATTCACCAGTAACGTTACCATAAAAAGCCTCGAGAAATATTTCGATTTTTCTTTCTTTCTTAGAAATAGACTTCATAACAACTACTAAGTATGACCAACTTCTGTGTTAAACAGGCTTTAATCGTCCTTTATAAATTTTTATTGTTATTACAAAAACAAAATCTTTATTTTGCTTATATTTCCTTCAACTTATTATAATGAATAAAATTCAAATTTTACGAGATTTCCTGAATTGATAAATTCTAAAACGAAATATAGACAATTTTACTTTCATATACTTCAAAGAGGATTATATATATTTATAAATTTATCACTTGAATGTTAAAAACAATTTTTGTTCCTAATAAAGCAGTGGAAGTTTTTAAAAACAAACAAACTATAAACATTTTTAATCTGCCTCTTGACACACATTTAACGTAACTATTAAAAAACAGCTATAAATAATCTATAATCAAAGATCTAGTCGATTCTCATAAAATAGTTTAAAAGTATTCAACTATTCTCAAATAAAATTTCAGTAACACGAATTTTTGCATTTCAATGTCTATTATAGTGCTTCGATTGAGAAAAATATTATTCCTTTTAATTGTTTCGAAATGAACAAATGATTGATAACTATATATCATAAAGATAACTATTTTTTTACTTTTAATAACAAACTCTTATCATAGTTTTGTTGAATTTTCATCGCACGTTATTGGAACCACACATTATAGATTCATTTATAAACTTTTATAAGTAGTCTAATTCACTGTCTAATAACATAATATGTAAACAATTGAACATTAATTTAAACTTACTTGCAGAATTATCTCCTGTGTTACAATTTTTAATAATTAAGTATAAAGGTTAAGAAATTTGCATAGGATGATGAGACACATTTGGTATATTTATTAATTTAATTGAAATTCAAGTTTTCTTTCTGACTAAATTTTTTTACATTGGAAAGCAAGGAAAATATATAATATTGCAGCTAAGACTATAAACGTACAAGACATATAAGCCTATAAACGTACTCTAAATATCAGACCAATTTCAAAGTTAATTAATCAATTTCAGTTATAATGAAATAATAAACACAGCAAAGGAAACAGAAATTTTTATTGATATATTTCAAAATATCTAATAATTAGAAAAATTTAAGATAATTTTCTTAAGCTCATATCTCCTCATTTCCTGTTTGCAAAGTTAAAGTGAAAAAATCATCAATAATAAATCAACGCACATGCATTGGCGCGATTATTTTAATTTCTGTTTTAATAAATTCCCAATAAACGCGATAACTTTCCGAATTCTTGCAAAATAAGTGACATTCAACAGCCAATCAAAACGTTGAAATCTAATCACCCGGATGTTATCATGTTCTTGTTGCCATTCCGAAGTAGACTTCACTTTGGTGTTCTACTGCAAACCTTGTCTTTACAATTCGTCCACAACGGAACCGGTTTTATTACATATTCAATGATCTTAGAACGAGAAGAAATAGGTAGTAGTAAGCGTCTGAAATAAATGTTTTTAAGTTTAATTTAAAAATAAATATTGTATCGTGCACTAAATAAAATGTTTAAATTTTACAGAGTGAAAGAACTTAGACCCAACATAAACAGCGTTCAACATCGCTTGCCTCAGATTTATAAAAATTATCTTCAATCATTAAAGCTTCCTCCTGCTCCTCTGCATTACATACCTCATCCTAAAGAATATGTTTTAAATCCCGGCACAAAACAAAAGTATACGTTTTGTATTTCATTCATGGTCTATATTATTTTCTTTAAAAGTTGATTAATGAAAGCATAATGATGTTTGTTATTTACTATTTTGTTTTATAAGAAAAGTTTATATTTTCTTTTGCTTTTAAGTCATGACATCTTATAGTTTTAATAGATGTGTTTTATTTCAGAATGCGTGTTGAAACCCGGCCGATTCCTCTTAAATTCCCTAAAGAAGCTGATGAAGGAATATGGGGTGGCGAAGGTGTGATTCAGGGTTTCGTCAAAAATAAATGGAGGCGTAGAAAGTAATATTGAAATTTATGAATAGTTTAACATTTAGAGTATTTAAAAATTATTTGTCTATGTATGATTTTATTATTGTCTCTATTGTTATTCATCTTCCAAATTGAAAAAAAAAGTTCAGTACTTTTATTACAAATGATTTCTACACTTAAATGTTACTACATAATTTGTACATATTAATCAATTATGTTGGGAGCTATATTCTACTAATAGTAGATGTGAATCTTATATACTTGAATCATATACGATCCATTGTTCTGCATCTTTAGTTTTCCTGTATTTATTGTCTTGTTTTATCAGTCTTTTCATGAATCCTATTCTAATATTGTTAATAGTAGGTACCATTTATTCTTTTCTGAACCTAAAAGATACCCACCTCTAATGTTCAGAAATTTTACCGAAATTTGAAAAAATTAAGTTATTTAGTTTTGATAAAAAAAAATAAAAAAAATGGTAACTCCTGATGCTAATATCTAATCAGGGGTCTGTATAGAAGAAATTTGGGTCCGTTAACGGACCCTTACAAAATATCTTTCCATAAAAACGGACCCTTCACAAAATAATTTACCTTTCACAAATTTGTTAATCTTCATTATTGTTTTGTTAATCGAATAAACTCTTCCCGGGGAAAATAGATAGTTCGAAATGAACTACGTTTTCCAAGTTTCCCTAATTTTAAACTCCAACCGTAGTATTCTAAGAAAATATTTCTACTCTTACAAACATCGTGTGCACATTCTTATTGATATTAATGATAATTTTGTTTTCTTTTTTTTTGTAAATAAATAATTGATCAATTTATATTTGTTTATAAAATTAATAAAATTAATTTCTGGCAATTTTTTAAGTAAAATATTATAAATTTAAGAATTGTTTATGTTTACTTAATGTGGTAACACATTAAAAGTGATACATTAATAAGTTGTGTTATTTAAAATATGTCAATTGAAATTATTAAAAGTGTGAGTGATTTTGTTTCCATTATTTGTCCGAAATGAATATTCTGTGTTCAGCAGTATAGGCTAAATACCAAATATTTGTATGTTGCATCTCTAATTTAGTAGCAACAATTGTTGAGCAGAATCTTGTTTCTATTCACAATTTAAAGACTTCTTGAAAAGGTTTTTAGAAATTTTTGCAATAACAGGACCCTGTTTGCACAAATTTACAAAAGCAGTACTCTGGTTGAAAGAATGTGACTTAATGCTTATTTTATATTCACAATTTATGAATAGTTTTTTCACAATTTTACGAAAACAGGACCTTTCACAAAATGTGTGGACAGACCCCTGCACAGGGGTAAAATAGTTCTACTTCGTAGAATTATTTTGCTATACCTATATAATTACAAAATTAAATCTGGGAATATGATGCCTGTTCGCAATAAAGAACTAAATAAAGTTTTTTTTTTTTTTGCTAAAAAATTTTAAAAAATATGCACATAGTTGTTTGTTTGGGGTATGTAAAATTTATACCTTTCGAGTTGGTGCGTGATTTTTTTTAGTTTATAGTAAACTGCTATTCGGCTGTTAAAATTAGGGGATTTTTGTGCAGATACTAATACGAAATTCTTCCCATTTTCTTAAAAAAGTTTATAATTCAAATATTTAAAACTACTTTTTCTAATCAAGTTTATCTAATAACTTTTTACATTTCTGTCAGTTATTGCTACTTGATTTGAAAAAGCTGGTTTTTCAATTTCTAATTTTAATAGTTGTTCTACTGTTTTGGCACAAATCAGTAAATAAACCTCTGATAATAAACATTTATTCAATGTTCTTTCAGTATTGAATTCTAAAGAACATAATTCTTTTAACTGTTTTAGATTTGCATTATTTGATGTTTCTGCCTTGGGTAGATTTCCTTTCGATCTGAATCTGTACCAAAGTTGGCACTAAGTTTTGTTTCACATGAAAAGCTTAAAAGAAAAAAGACATGATAGAACAGAATTCACATGAAAGAATTCACATTATTCATAGCCACTTCTCTCTCTCTCTCTCTCACTCTTTTTTAAAAAAAAAAATGTTATAGAAATATCCCTTTTGTCTTTTTTTATAATTAAGTAAATGCTATATTTTAGACAAATATTTCAATTTTTAAAAAGAAAACAATATAGAAAATTTTTATATTAAAAGATCAAAATATAATTTTAAAATATAACAGTCTACTCTGATATGAAATTCAATTGCTCTTGTGTAAATAAGCTAGTATTTTAATTTATCTAAAATACCTAAATTTTATGTTTTCTTATAACTATAATATTGTCAAAAATTGCTTTCATATGGGCCCAGAAACAGCTGTTTTATTGTAATGTTCACAATTTGTTCTTTTTATCTGTTTGTTTATAAAGAAACTCGAAAAAATATGATGCATTTCTAGTATACCTTTTCTAGTATTAAGTAGCAGTTCATTGTATACCCTGTCCTTATCATGAATAAATAATATACCTTTCTTTATCAATTATGTACAATTGAAATATTGAAATAAAAAATTCAATAAAAGGCATATAGCACTCAGGCTGTCCTGTGAATTCAGAAAATATATGTTTTTATTTGATTCCCAAACAACCCTGTTAAATGTGTTTTATTTAAAGGAATTTTATTTATATAATATTTTTTTTTAAACCTTTTTCAGTCGTTTAAAAGAAAATTTTGCTCTTCTACATTTGTGAATTCAGGGACCAAAATGCTTCCCAATAACTCGACAAAATATTTTTTAGTTCGAAGTAAAAAACAAGGGTTAGACTACAATGAGGCATCAGCTTTTACTCTGAAAAATATTGTCATCTTTCTTTTAACCATAGTTGTTCAAGGTATTGTATGAAGAGTTCTGTTGTGTTTTTTTTTCTTCAATTTTTTATTTTTTTGTAGGATGATAAACTTTTGGATTTCAAATTTGAAAAAAGCTGTTGTTTATAGTGAAATATTAAATCAATATATGTCAGTAACATTGACAGAAAGGACATTGCGATTAATTGATGAGAACTCTAGCTTTGATCATTATATTTTGAGTGTAAGTAAAAATATTTTATTCTTCCTTAAATTATATAATCTCAGGAAAAACCTACAACTAATGTGACATTTTAAAATTATATTTCTATTAAAAATGTGAAAATTTGATTATTTTTTTTAAATTTAAGTTTTTATAAACATTTCTGATAAAGTTGCTATTCTATTTCTTCATAATCATGCACCTAACCTTGTTAAAAAATAAAATATGAACTCGTAGTTAACGGTTATTATATTTTTCATATTTTAATGTTAGTAGTTATTTCATATCGTAATAAAATATTTTTGAAGATACTGTAGGAGAAATTTATATTGTTATACAATAAGGCATTGTTTATATGATTCTCATTTTTCAGTCTTTTTCATTAATGTGTCATTTCAGTGTGCTTCCAATTTATTCTTAATCTATGCATTGTTAGTATAGTTTATTTATATTATTATGGAAAATAAAACATCAATTTTCCTGTTTTTTTAATACTTAAATATAGGAACTCTAGATGAGACTCTAAAAAATTATTCTCCTCAAAATTTCTTTTGCTTAAGTGTCTACCTGTATGGAAAGAATTGTATACATATATGTATTTAAGGATATAAATTTAAGGTATGATTTTTTTAAAAACTTGTGTAACAGATGTTATGCTTTCAATTATTACTGCTTCTTATTATTTCTCTGTCAATAATAATAAGTGTCAAATTAACAATGCAATTATCAAAATTATTATTTTTGCAAGAAATTTTTTTCTAATTTATTTAAATTTTAGTTATATATCTTTTCATTTGTATGTTGTAGGTCCCTTAAAAGATTTATAAATGGTGATTTACTGTGCTAGCATCTACTTCACAACTTTTGATGAAAGAACACAACAAAAAATATATATCTGTAGTCTAAGGTTCTGTAGTACAATAGCATTAAAATGCACCACTCATCCCGTGTTATTCTAACGCTCCATGGAACAATAATATGTTACTCACTAAATTGCATTTTAATTTAATCAGGCTGCTTTGTTTACCTTTTGCGGAAACTTCGCAGTGTGTTGTTTAATAGTGAGGTGATCAACTGCAAGGTTATGGCAGACTTCATTAATAATTCAAAATTCCATATTTCTTAAAAAATTTTGCTGTAAAATAGAAATTTTCATATTGGGTTTTTTTGGCAAGTTTTTTTATTTTTTTGCATGCCAGAAATTTGTTATCTCTTAATCAAAAATAGGGGTTTGACTTATACACAGAATGCACAGAATGCTAAGTAATTTTTATTTCCCTTTCAAAAATTATATTACGTAAAGTGGATACATAAATTCTTTAATATATTCATTTTTTAAAAAAATGTTTCATTTTTTATCACCTGTGATATTGTTAAATGATGAATGTTAAAAAAGTTAAGCATTCATTTTAATGTCTGAGAAAGTGAAATATTTATTTATTCTTATCATTATGCGTTGTATAAAAATTTGCTTTGTCAAACATCTTAAAATAATTTGACTTTATTTTATAGACTCCTGTCCAAGACTTAAAATCACAGCTTGCTTTATCTATAAGAAGAAAAATGTACTTTGCCTTATTAAACAGAGATAAAAATCATCCTGATGATAAAACTAATGAAGAAATTATTGAAAAGTACAAAAAATATATAATACCAGTAAGTTAACTTTATGGATTTAATTTTTTTAATAAAATCACTTGATTATAAATTCAGGTGTTATTTAATTTCATATCTGCAGGCGCATAATCATTATAATATCATAAAATATTAAAAACCATCCTCTAAGGAAATCATGATTGCCATTTTATAAAGTTTTTAGTAGGCGTATGTCTTCAAAACATTAGAAAATGTTTTTTTTTAGATAAATACTTTAAAGTTTAAAAAAATTGTATAGCAAATAGAAAACAGGTATTAATTTGCCACCCACAGGCAAGAAAAACAGAGCTACTGTTGGGAATTGAACTTTAAAAAATTGAAGGTTTGTAAATAAAAAATGATGAAACAGGAAAGGGGGCTAATGGTCTTTTATCCCAACTCACTTATTTACCCTCACAGTTAAGAAAAAACGAAGTAGCCACAAAAAGGTTGAAAAGGAATTTAAATGTAAATAAATGAAAAGATAAATTGAATTCCTAATGTATTCAAAAAGATAGATGACTTAATTTAAGGATGACTTTTTATTTATTTTACTAAAAAAAAGTAAAAATCAATTTTAAACCAGTTTGTCTTCGTATTCTGATATGGTTCAGCTGTAAATAGAGATTGAGGTTTTGTATATTTTTTTTTTTTTTTTTTTTTTTTTTTTTTTTTTTTTTTTTTTTTTTTTTTTTTTTTNTTTTTTTTTTTTTTTTTTTTTTTGCATTCATTTTGAATTAAATATGTTTGTTAGTTGTATGCTTAAGCAGGAAAATTTAAATATCAAAACAAGATTATTTTGAAGGTTACAAAAATTTTTTTAAGCTTTTGAACTGAATTTTTGATTTTGATTTCTGTTTATTGAACAACAGTACGTCAATGTATTTAATCAATTATTAAATTCCTTTTAGTAGTGTTTTAAAATAGAAACAAGAAACAGTTGATTTATATATTATAATTTTACTTCTTTACTTTAATTTTTTGTAATCATGTTATCAAAAACCTATTTTTTTATTTTATTAAATAAAGTTAAACTTTAGGGTATTAGCCAGTTTCTTATGAGTTTTTTTTGTTTTTTTTTGCAGCAAGTTTTTAATTAATCAAAATTGTCTTATAATACGTATTATGTATCTACTTTTATTTTTTAAGATAACTTAAATCTAATGTGTATCCTTAAACAGGTATCTTTTTTTTTTAAATTTATTTAAAGTGAATCAATATAGTTTAACAAGAATTAACAAAAATTTGTTTCATATTAATTTATAAACAGGTATTTAAGTACTTATTTTAATATTTGAATTATATTAAGCTCAAAATTTTAAAGGAAAAATATGTAAGTAAATCTAATGTATAGCTCTTATGTAAAAAATTTTTTTTTTGTGAATTTCATGTAAAGATTTAAATTTGTTCTAGAAAGAGGAAGCTGAGTGGTTTGGTTTAACCATGAGAGAAGCAGTTCAAAAACAAAGACTTCTTGAAGAGGAGCAGCAGCCAGTGCCTTTGAAACATGCCCTCCGTCTCAAGTTAATAGAAGAATTAAAACGTAATTTTTTAATTTTTCATTTAAAATCTATACTGCTTTTTGTTTGCTCTCAATTCTTCTAGTGGTTTATGACAGCAATTATTTTACAAAACTTTTTCTGGTTAGTGCATAATCTGATCTGGTAATTAAAATATTGCAAAGGCAGGTCCTTGCACTGATTCTCGCCTTTAATTACCTGTGGAGAAAGATTCCCCTAGACCAGGGTGGCGAATCTTCATGCACCAACGAGCCATTTTTTCTAAAATATATTTTAATGAGGTCATAGACGTGCCGACAAATAGTTTTGACTTCGTTATTATTGGGTAAATAATAATACTAAATTTTATCAACTCAAAACTCTTTATTTACTACAAAAAAATGCAATTCTCAACTTTTGCAATGTCTCAGTTATACGCGTAATTCAACTTAAAGTAACATCAGTGTGATTTCTGTTGTTGCAGATTAGATGACAAATAACTTATATTAGGGTTATAAGATGTTAGTTTAAGCTGAACTGTTAGTTTTTTTTTGCTAGTTATTTATTGTTCACTTGTTTTTTTTGTAGTTATTAATTGCTTTTTTGGCATTAATTGTTCTTTTTTTGTGAATTTTAATTGATTTGTTAATATGCTGCATAGTAAACTTTGTTATCGGTGGCGTGCCCAAAATATTGTGTCGCGTGCCACTTATGGCACGCATGCCACTGGTTCGCCATCTCTGCCCTAGACTGTCCTTTGCGTAGATTTCATTTGTCATGTGTTCAGGGAAATGTGAGAAACCCTCCAGCATAATAGTGAGCGCTGCTGAGTAGTAATAATAATGAGTACTGCTAATTATTTTTTTCAAAGATTTTTGTTTTTCAAATTTTATTTTTAGGAAGCAAATTATTAAGAAAAATTTTCTAAGAATCTTCGGAAAAAAAAAACATTTCTTTACTTGTTTCGAATAAAAAACAAAAAGTTAAGATAAAGAAAAGTCACACAGAATAAAAAGTAAAAAAAAAATAAATTATTGAGATATATTGAGATTTTTTTTTAGTATCATTTTATATAAGTCAGCTTAAATTTAAGCAAAATAAAGTTTAATTTCTAGTTTTTCATGTCTTTATATTTGCAAATATTGTTACATGTTATTTGTGAGATTAAGCTGAATTTATGCAATTATCATCTCTGGTTGCAATGATATGATTTACAGTATTAATTTCTGTTAAATTTGGATTTAAGAAGATGCTGCTGCAGATTCACTTCGTAAATTCTGTTTCCAACCTCTGATAAGTAACATACATGTTTTGTTGAGTTGTTGACAGTTGCCCAATGACTTTTTTTGTATGCTTGCTAATAGGTATTTATCAATACATTAGTTGAATCAATAAAATTAAGTCTTGTTTTGATTTCAGCCTTTTTATGTATTATTTATAACTTATTGAACGATGAGTCCCAACCCTGAGTTGGTTGCATTATTAAATTTTTGTGTAGCAAGAACATCATAGTCATAATTTGTAATAAAAAAATTATTAGTTCATTACTCTGTTTTACAAAATTTTCTCTTATTTCTTTACAAAAATAAACTTTCAGTGTTTAACAAAAATGTATTTTTTTTTCCACAAAATTTATTCTTGTTTTATGGAGGTTATTGTAAAAAATAGGTTCTCACAGCTTAGTTGTTAGATCGGAGAAATTTAGCTTCATAATTAAATTATTAAAGCGTCATATTTTATTTTTCTGCTTTATTAGTTCACCTTTACTACTTTATTTTTCTACTTTATTAGTACCTTTTGTTTTCCTTTTTTCTCCTTACACATAGTTAAAATAAAAAATATAGTCTAAAATATCTTTTTTATTATAAAAGTTCCCATTGGTTACTTCATTACTTTTGTTAATTTATTACTTTATATCTATATTGTTGCTTCAGTACTTTAGTGTGCATTCAAATACAATCACATTTTAAAACTCATTTATGAACTTTTTCTCACTGTAAAAAAATATTCTTTATTTCCAAAGTTTTATGTTTCCTTATATTTCACTGTTTATACTAAATAACTGAAATTCTGCATTTAAATTCTATTTTAGGAATAAATACTTAATGAAATTGAATAATGGTTCCTATGATAGAAGTTATATATATTTTTTTTAATAAGATCTTTTTGCTTTGTTTTTTTATTGCTATAAGAAATTTTGTCTTAAAATTGTCTACTTTTCCAGAAAAATCTGAAAAGGGTGAAGTAGATGAAGAAGAAGAGGTGGAACAGTAAGTTTCCCTTTGTATATATTAATTTATTGTGTTTTCAAATGATTTTCATATTTTTTTAGATTTAGTTTCAATATTTTTTTTCATTGCATACTGCTATTTTTTAAAACCATATTTTTGTATATGTTTTTTTTTTCAATTCTCTTTTATAATTCTCTCTTTATCAGTCTCACTTTGATTATTTTTGTTATATGTTTCCTTGTTAATGTCAATATAAAAAATTGTTATTTCTCAAATTGTAATCAGATATTTTATACAATTTTCAAATTTTCAGACATAATGCATTTGATCTTTTTTCTTTTAAGGAAAATATGATTTTCAAATTGTTTTTTCACTTTTCATAAAACTCTTTCACTCTTCATATTCATGCAACATAAAAAATTTAATTTAAATTATTACTGCACTCAGTTTATTTATTTAATTCACTTATTATATATATTCATAAGATGTATTTCGGTGAATTGAAAAAAAATTACTTGAAATTATAAATTATTTTTATGTATGTATATAGATCTGTAGCATAATCACACAAAAAGGACTTATTAGTTTCTTGCACGTATCAAGAGCATTGTTTTATTTCCATTAAAAAATTACAGACAACCTGTAATTGAAAGAAAATGATAAGGGACACAATAATCTTGTGATATTAAATAAAAAGTTCTTATTAGTTTCTTGCCCAAAGCAAGAGCATTGTCTTGTTTCCATTAAAAAATGACAGGCAACCTGCAATTGAAAGAAAATGATAAGGGACACGAAATTTTTATGATATTAAAGTATTTCAGAGATCCATGACATATTTTATGTAAATTATGTGCTAATTAATGAAATAAATATGCTAATTAATTGTAATGTGAAATGCTTATATATAGTAATGCTTATAATAGTAATTATGCTTATAAATATAATGAGAAATAATCATCAGTTTTAATGACACTTGAATTTATCGCAACATTAATTACATTGTTAATTTTTTGGATATTTTTATTTGACTTATTTTCGGTATAGTCTTTATATGGAAAGAACTCCCCTTGCCATTTGATTGTAGAAATGACAGTGACTATGGTTACATGGTTTAGCTATTTCAAGTCGGGTTGTAGGGTCTGTATTTGTCATGTTTTGGTTTGAGTTCTGTGAGAGAAAGAGAATCTGGGAAGGGAGAAGCTCCCGTCTGTGCAATGGGCTGTTTCTTATTTCCATGGCAGCAAATGGCCTTTGACTTTGTGACGGGAAGAGTTCTTTCTATAGACAATCTTTCAGGGTGGCCACCCACCTGGAAAACCTGGAATTATCAGGGAATTTTTTTTATACTGGAAAAAACCTGGAAAAATCAGGGAAATATGGATAAAAACCTGGAAATTTTAAAGAAAAGCTGGAAATTTTTTTCTTATATATTTTTTTATTCACTAATTTAAATTATTTGCTAATAATTTTCTTAATTTAAATTGTTTCATCCATTATACCCACATATTTTAGATGGAAATGAATCACCAAACAGTTAAAATATCATCAACTTACTTTGCTTTCGTCAAAATTTGCTCCATTATATCCCTGTTAAACTAGAATACAACATAAAATTCTCCCATGCAAATGTAGAAACCTTTGATCTCTATGCAGACTGTGCAATTTAGGAAAGGCTAAGATTATGGTTGATGTGGATAACGGGGTTAGGATTCGGTTTTTAAATTCTGTCCGTGTTCACACAATGATTCAAGTTTGTTCGCAATTGAGAGTGGTAATTTTTTTCTATTTTGACAAAATGTGTTTGTATTTTTAACTTTATTAAATTCTCTAAAAATTAGTTGGTTATAATTTAATAATAATAGATTTTATATTGCACTATTTTTCTGAAAGCTTTTCGGCTCCTATTGAAAGAAATCTGTAAATTATTTTTTCTCAGCAAAACAACCAATCACGCATTTCCCCCCATCACTAACAGCAATGTTTGTCGACAAATTGTTACAATTCTTGCATTAATGCTAATTTTTCCTATTTCATTTTTACCATTTATAGTATATTTTTATTTTGAAAAAAGTTTTTTTTAGAACTAACTACACTGGTTATCATAAATTAAGGAAAAATCACAAAAATAGCGATAACTCTTTCAAAAGTAAGCCAAACCGTGCAAAATTTGCATATGTTGTCCACTAAGAGTAGCTGAGTAAAATTGCAATATGCAAATTAGTGGCGCTGCACTCGGCTTACGTCATCTGCCTGGAGCATAAAAGTCCAAGTTTGAGAGAAAGCACACAAATTTTACTGTGATTGCGACATTGAAAATCTGAGATAGCCAATTCGTAATAATGACCTCTAGGCATCATTTGCCTGAAGAACTACGATGGAGAGCCATCGGGAGACTAGAGGCAGGGCAGAGTCA